TTGTGGAGATTTTAGTTCCAGTAGCAGCGGTAATTATTATGAGTATTGAAAAATCTTACCCAACGAGTTATAATTTTGCACGGTAGAAACTATTTTTTTAAAGAAATTTCTAAATTTATGTCATCAAAACTTATATAAAGATGGCAATTATATCAACTAAACAACCACAGCGCTGCAATTAGGGATTTTGGGCTGGCTGCTTGGAAAGAAATATATATCTACATAAAAATTCAAATTATAACCTTTTTCTGCAAAATTAATGAGGTTCGAAATTATATTCTTCAAGTCAAACTTAAACACGCCGATTTTTTGTTCTCGTAGTAAGAGCGAACTTTATCGAAGTTGTAAAAGATGGTATAAGGCCAAAATGTTTACGCGATGGAAACTGTTTTTAGTTGAAGTGAAGAAAGCATTTTTTAAAGAAAATATTAAAGTTCTCAGATAATATTTTGCCAGGGCCGAAAAGTTTAAGCTTTTGCATGAAATTGCTTATTTTCCTTATTCAGGGTTTCCAAGCCTAATTTTAATGATTAGGCTTATTTTGCTTATTTCAATGTATAAAGCTAAAGTAAATGGTCAAGAAATAAATTGCTATGCAATATTTCGTGTGTGTGAATAGTAGTGTTCAGGAGTTTTGACATCTGATATTCTACAGCCTGCTGTCTAACTTCTTCCTTACGAAATAATGGAACGGGCTTATATTTCTGTTGAAAACAAGGATGTCTTGTACTCTTCACAAACAAACTTTAGCAAACCAGCAGAAAGCGTAGAAAATTTCTTAAGAACTTCGTACTGCTTAAGAAAATTTGGATCAATAAATTTTTCTTGACCATTTCTTGGGCTTTTTTTATTCGCCGAACAAAATAAATGTTTACAAATAATAACATAAAAATAGATTTAGAATCTGATGTCAGATTTTCATAATTCAAAATGGTGGATCCAAAATGGCGACCAACTTTAAAATAATGATTGGATTGGTTGAAACTCTTAACCGCCATTTTGAATTTTAGAAATCTGGCATCAGATTCGTAATCAGCAACCCCAGAAACCCACTGGAAACGTGTTTTAACCCTTGACAATGTTTAAAACGTTCAGTATCAACGTTTTAATTTTAGTACTTTTTTTGTAATTTCATCGCCATATTGGATCCGCCATTTTGAATTAAAAAAAATTGACTTCAGATTCGTAATCGGCGACCCCAAAAACTCTCGAGTGCCGAGTTTCAAACCAATCCAATCATTAAAAAAAAAATGGACCGCCATGTTGGATCCGCCATTTTGAATTTCGAAAAACTGACTTCAGATCCCAGAAAACGCCTGGAAACAAGTTTCAACCCATGATAATGCGTAAATCGTTCAGTATCAACGTTTTAATTTTACAACTCTCTTTTCGAGAGCATATTTTCGGGCACTAGGCCCATTCTAACTGCCCAAGACAGGTATGTAATTAAGGAAATGTTCCCCAATAATACCAGAGTAATTATATATAAAAAAAACACATTTTTTGCTGCATTTTAACATTTCAAGAAAATAAAAAAAATTGAGAATATCAGCGTTTTTATAAAAAACGACCAGCGCGAAAAATAAACTTATAGGGCCCCTAAACCACATAAAATCCTTGCGCAACCCGAGACTTATACAAGTCAATATTGTGGAAATTACTACAGCGTAAAATTGCGCAACCCTTATTTTGAAGAAACGTTGCTCAAGTAAATATGTGCAAGAAATATGAATGTGCGTGAAAACGTAAAAAAAAAAAAATTAAAAACAAATAAATTTTTTCTACGCTTTTATCCATTTTTTACAGCACGATCTGGACACCAAAATCAAAACTAGACAAAAAATTTCGCAGTTGTAGCCATCCGCTGCACAAATTATTGTGTTTCCTTTATTAGAGTTACCAAATCAACCTTATAAATATCTATATATAAATTGAGAGACTTTAAATAACAAGAAAAAAATATTAGCTTTAGACTAGTAATATTATTCATAGTTTTCAGAAATTCATTTCTGCCAGCCGAAAGTATCAAAATACGGCATTTGGGAACAGAAAAGTACCAGATATTACAATTTAGAAAAAAAATATTAAAAATTATACAATTGTATCAAAACGGCATCGCGATCGTGATGGAAAACGAAGTTAGTTAACATCTGGTCGTCATAGCGACGATGGAATTAACAGCGTCAGCCGAGTGAAAATACTGCTACAGTAACAGAGGCAGCGCCGCTTGTGAAACCCTTGCTTGCCTCACCGCTCGTGCCTTAAATTCAAATTAGTTCGATAGTCGAAATGCGTCTTCTGTATATTCTGTACTACTACGCAAATCTTTTTAGTACAATTTTGTGATGAATACTAAAAATATATAGCTCTGAAAATTCCAGCGGGAAATTTTTTTATTTTCTTTTTGTTTTGATCTTTTTGAATTTGCATTTGTAAGTTTTGAAAAAGTGTTAACAATGTCTTGAACGAACTATTATAACATATCACAAGGTGTGCTATCTGCTTCCCACTCCCAGGCAACTTTTAAAAGAATATTTTCGATAAAACAAAATGTCGAAATCAGCTTCAATAGAAGCAATATCTTCGATAACACTGGATCACAGTTGTCACGACATCAGTATCACCTAATTTGTATTCATATCCACTAAGCACACAAAAATGCATCTCTGTAGCATCAATTTATGTTTAACTAAACATCTTTAAGTCACTCAAGAGTATGTATTTGCGTATTGGTGCTGCTATTCTCGCTTGCGCTTGTTATTGAAATTACTGTTAGGTATTGAAATTTCTGCAATTAGCTATATACTACTGTATGCATACCAATCTCACTTTGCAAATATATAATAGGGGTATTCTCTGAGTCTTGCAAAGCCCTTGTAAGGTGCACGGATTGCACGGTTTGCAAAGCTGTCCCATACGAAAACCGGTTTTTACCGTGCATTCCGTGCAATCTGTGCACCGTGCAAGGGCTTTGCAAGACTCAGAGAATACCCCTAATGTATTTTATTTTAAGCAGCTAGGCAAAATTTAACTTGCTATTCTGCCTTTTTTATCAAGCAGCCGAGGAGACAGCAACAATTTTTTAACGCGCTCAACTTATTGTAATTATTAGCCAACAGTCAACTTTGGAAAATATAAAGCTGAGTTATAACGCTTTGCAATAAATCATAGAATTTTCGTAAAGTCGTATTTTTCTTTTCATTTGCGTACGTAATTACAATCGTTTAAAAATTGCTGTCTCCCGGTTCCATACCGAAAATGCCGAAAAGGGTGACAAAAAATCAAGCCAAGGAGTTGGGAAGCATTTCGGATGCGGTAAGGGACCATTCGGATCACGAGTCAACTACCATCGTCGGTGAAGCTGCTCCAGAGGAGCAAACGGGAGGGCATTGGGAATCAGTCAAGATTCCATTACTAATGACCACATTAAATCATTACTCGCCGCCATAGCATCACTTCGTGAGTCTGTCGAGGAACTACGCAATGATGCTAGGCGTAAGGAAAATAATGTTGAGGGTAACCAAGTACCTTTACAAGCTTTATTCTTGCAACCGCCACAAATTGCAGCGCAGTTGCTGGCAAATCATTTTACACAGCCGTCACAAATCACAGGGCGGTTAATGTCAAACGAGACTGCGCAGCACCCACAAGCTACAACGCAATCGTTACAAAGTACGGGGCCTTCATCGGGGCATATTTATGCACAGTCGTTCTTATCATCGAGAATTGCAACATCATCATTACCAAGAATTTCACCGCCGTTGCCGAGCTTTCAGCACATAACAGCGCAATCGTCGGCGCTACCTAATGGGTTTATACAGTCGCCACCACACTTGTTAACCCAGTCATTGCCATTTACTGCAACGCACGTGCATCCGTCAGTATCTTCGACACAGATACCGGCACGTACAATGCAAGCATCGACATTAAACAGTAGTTGCCTAACACTTTTGGACCAATCTGCGACAAAACTTTTTCCGTTGCCAATTTTTGATGGCAATCCTGAGGATGGGCCATTGTTTTTAGTCAATTATACCGACACCACCCAAGAATTTAGTAGTATGGAGATAACTAAGTAAAGGAGAAATCTAAGAGGGTCTCCTTTACTGTTAACGGTTTGAAGTCCAGTAGCCAATTCCATTTGAAAAATGTTCACACAGTGAAATCGTTGAGTTTGCCACAACAATCCTTTTTCTGGGAGCAACATGAGCATTTGCAGATGCTGCCCATAGCAAATTACACCAACGCAAAACCTGTACTCTTGCTTGGGCTAGACAACAGGTACCTAGGTATCGCCAGCAGAAGGAGCTTATTGCTATTGACACGCAATTAGGTTGGGTGCCTTTTGGACCACAAACTAAAGAGAACATCGCACCGGCGCGCGTATTCCATATACGAGAATCCCAATCAATTCAACAGTTGCAAAGCTTGGTGCAAGAAAATTACTCCATTGATAGCTTTGGTGTACGTACGTCTGACGTGGTCTTAGAATCAGATGAAAACCGCCGTGCTAGGGAAATTCTTAGCCTCACAATGAAAATCTCGGTGCAAGATATGAAGTGGGTTTACTATGGCGGAGCGATGACGTCGTTCTTCCACCCAGCTTTGACATGGCTTAAGAATATTGAAGCTCGCATTGAGAAGGATCCAGTCTTCGCCAGAAACTATAAGAGGGAGATAGACAAATATCTCAGCAAAGAATATGCCAGTCCTTTGCAGCCAGAAGATGTTCTCGAAGAGAGCAATCGAATCTGGTACCTTCCACACTTTGGTATAATAAACCCGCACAAGCCAGACAAATTGCGAATAGTGTTTGATGCCGCCGCCGCCTCATCAAAAGTGTCACTAAATTCTACCTTAGTAAAGGGTCCTGAGCATGCCCAGTCATTGATTGCCATCTTGCACAAATTTCGCCAAAGGGCCGTAGCAGTTGCTGCCGACATTCAAGAAATGTTTTCGCAGATTCGCATCCGGTCAGCAGATCAGAACTCACAACGATTTTTTGGCGTGACGGCAATCCTGCCATTCC